CCATCTAGTCTCCTTTATTAAACACTTTCACGAAGAAATCATGAAATTCTGAAAAATGCTTCCCTAGGATTTGCATGTTTGTTATGTACTCCAATTAGTCCTCCCACATTAGTCAAACTACCTTGACGCTGCAGTGTGAAATTAATGATTTTCCAGGACTCTAAAATGTGCCATTAGTATGCATCCAAATCGCCTCTTCCCTGAGCTTAAGGTTTGCTGTCCTGACGGTGCCTGTTTCCACACCCAGTTGCATCCTTCCAGCCCATGGGCAGCTCCTCCATTAAATGCCACGTTCAGCAGGAGAAAGGTGTGCAAAACAGATTTCAGAGCCTTTAAGTCACAACTTGCAACACAACAAGGAATGGGGTGATTTAAGAAATTACAGCACTGTTTTTTTAAGTTTTCACTGAATAAACACAGAGAATGGGAGGGAAACTTTCTCCCTCTGCTCCTGTTCTTGAAGTGAATACATATTTGTGTTTCCAATAAAAGGCCATTTTTACATTAACTGTCTGTAACAGCAGGAGACAGAAAAACTAACACAATCGCCACATCACACACAGGATGATCTTCATATCACGTGGCCCTATTCTCAAAACGATTATTTATAAAAGACAACTAGGAAAATACACAATGCATCTTTTCTGTGTCACGGAAAGGATACTGTCTGCAGAACTTTGGATCTTTGGGATCTTCCACCTTTTAGGGGTTTTTTTTTTCCATTTTGGCTTTCCGAAGTAAATTTAGCAGCCATGTGGGCCACTGTGTTTAATTAAGCTTTCAAAAGTCCTCTGACAATGCCAACAATTGTAAGACACTTCTGCAGCTCAATCATGCAATCACTGTGACAGTTCTATTTACAATTTGTCTTAGAAAGAGTTTCTCTGACATTGCACTTTGACAAAACATCCAAGCTGCCAGTTCACAACCTTTCTCTGTCTTATTTACAAATACAGCTTGTACATAGGACTCCTAGTCTCATGAACATGAGTCTGTGGGTAGTGGTCTCACAAACACAGGCTGCCAATGAAAATCCCAAGAATTTATTAGGAAACAATATTCTCTGGTCCATGGGTTCTGAAGGTAAATAAAATGTTAATCAGTATATTGGGGGGGTGTTGTGGTTGCTGCTTTTTTAGCTGCCAGACTAAAAATTCACTTCAGCAGTCAGTAGTTTTTATTCAGAATCACACAAATAAAGAAAAGGGAAAATAAGGAGTCATAATAGGACACTGTAATTTATGGTCTCATTTACAATATGCTGTAAAGCATACAAGTACATCCTCCTGTTCAGTCTGAACTAGGAAAGAATTAGAATGGGCACAAAGAGAAAAGGCAACTTGATTTTCTAAATTCTGGAAAGCGTAAGTATGTTATACTTGATTCACCTTTAAGTAACATGCTACTGTATTTCTGTTCTGAATTACTATTTCTCCCTTCATTAGATATCTCTCTATCTTAACATGTTATTACCTAGATATGAGCATGCTGTCTAGGCAAATAATTTTTAAATATCCTGATATAAATACCTCTGCTCATGATTTTTAAGAAGGAAAAGATGGTAGTAGTAGACTTTACTAAAGGTTAGAGAACTTACCATATTTTCTCCCATTTTCTCAAAAATCCTAATTTAAAGATTTCTACATGCAATAACCCAAACCCTGAAACCTGACACTATAGGATAACATTTTTTGGCCTTTTCTACAAGTGAACAGCAGTTTTACATTCACTAATGTCTAATGAATATTTCCCCCATCGTAAAATATAAGAGTAGAAAACAAAACCAAAGCCCTATTAAAAGCCCTGGCTGCCCGTCAGAAGCTGCTGATATCTGATGGTGGCTATTGGACACACAAACTGATGAACTGGGCCCCACGCAGGGCAACCTGCTCATTTCCAGTTAAATTAACACTACTGCAATGGTCTCAATGAATCACAGTCATATAATATTCTGGCTATTTGAATAAAGTGACAAAAGCAACCTGATCGTTGTGCATGTGTGGAGTTAACATGCGTCCATGGGTGAAGTGATGGGCACATACCCATCTATCTGCCAGGTCAAAATCATCCTTTCTAAAAAATACTCAGCACAGTCAAAATGTATACCATTTACTGAAGATTTAAAAGATCTCCACCTTATATACCTATTTGAAAGCCCCAGATTCTAGGCTTTATTTATCTCAGGAAGATCTGTTGCTATTTTATTCCTGCTTCCTGCCTATAAAATGGCACAGAGCACACACAGTGAGCTCAAACCCAACTGACATCACTTTAATAAAGCCTTTCCTACACAGCGCACTTAAATGACTACCTTTTACGTGGTTGCCAAACATATTCTTCTAGAGATTCATCAATATATCTCTTTCCTAATACAGGGCATTGCTTCTCCTTTCTTTTTGTGACACAACTGAAATATCTACTGAATGATTACTCTTATTGTTTCCCTCCTCACTATAAAGAGAAAAGCCGACTTGGAATTCTGAAGACGTGCTTGAGAGAAATGGGCTGGGAGTACACAGCCGTCTTCCAGAACTTCGCTTCAGAGGTACCTGAGGACCAGGGCATCTTAATTTACGTGCAATGATAGAATGTTAATTTCACCATAGGAAACTCTTAATTCGTTACTGTGAATTATGAGAAGTCGTGAGGCTAGTTACTGACATCTCACTTTGAGATGTGACCATGCTATTTACGTTCAGCCAATTCCATGGTGGGAACAGTTGATTAAACACAATGAAAGGAATCAAGGCTTTGTAATTATTCATGCATGCAAGGTTTACCTCACCTGGGTTGAAGCACTTGTGCACCCATTGAATATCTTAGAAGCCTTACTTAGCTTTTTATCTCAGTGAGATTATTTCATGTTAGCCTTATAAAACATAGTATAAAGTTGCCCTTTGTTTTGACTTCTCTGGGTCTGTTATTGTACTGGTTTTTTTAAAAAATAGTAATAGAACCTTTATGACAACCAGAGAGTTAAGGGAAATATCTTTTCTTTCCCTGCACAGATTCACAACTGTAACAGCAAAAAGCCTTTACTATCGGGCCTTCCCTCAGCTTTTAGATTCTTCCTCTAAGTACAGAAGCACAGAATTTCCAAGCTGCTTAATCTGAGACTGAATAACCTATCTGGGACCTCAGTAAGAAGTGTGGTTTTAATTCTTGCTTGACAGACACTGTGTTTTGTCTTTTAAACGGGCAGCTCGATATGTAAATACGATGTTACATCACACAAGTGTTACTCCATATTTGGTGATTTAGAAAGGCTTTGGATCTCCAAAGATGACAAATCCCCTTCCGCTTGCTCTTGCTTCATTAATCATGCCTTACACTTCTGTTCATTTTCCTTCCAGTCACAAGACAGCACATGGAAATGGTCATTGCCATATCCTACTGGGGGGGACATGGAAGGAAGGGGGAAATAGAATCTTAACCTACACGTCACATAAGCTAAATGCAGTGGGTTTGAGAAAAACGTTTTGTAAATGCAGCTTGCCTAGGAGCAGATTTTTCATTTCACTGAAGGAAAAGTATCTGAATACTACTGCAGGAAGCATTTAAAAATAAAAGAAAGAAAGAAATGCCACGTTTGAGTTTAATGATCAAATTCCAGAGGGGGAGAAAAGAAATAATACGACATTTAATCCCCTCTGGACCACTGACCTACTACAGTTCAACTTTGTGGTCAAACTAGGTCAGAGACACAAGTTCCAGTGAATCAATTGATTATATGCACTATCTCCCCTTAAACTGAACAAATCTCCTGTCTTTGGGGGAGGGGATAGGGGAAAATAGAGGAAAGTGATCCACCAACAGGCAAGCCGTTTCTGTCACCACAGAATCTGCATTCACTTTGTCTTACGTGTTAAATCACTGCTGTTTCACAAAAAAGTGCGCTAAGGACCACTACATTGTGTTGCTGTTTATCACTTAGAGTAGGGATTTAAGTCCCTCTGTTAGCTGTTAATTCCTTTTCCCTGGAGCTGCTGAGAAAACCCACACACCTAGCTACCTCTCTGCTAAAATTAACCAAATGAAGGAGAGCTATTGAATGTATTGTATTTTTCCAAGAGAATTTTTACATTGCGTTATAGCAGAAACAGTGGAAGTATGGACTGGACATTTGTAAGGGTGACATGTGGTTGTGTAAACCACAAACAAAATCAAGATACATCTGTCAAAACCACATCAGAGACAAGAGAGAGCACAGAGAAGCATTTATCATTTAGCTGAGGAGGGAGGCTGCAGGGAGCAGCCGTTCCTGTCAAACCAACCTTTTGAAATTTCCAACATGCCCTTAAACTTTTCGAGTAAGCATGTCTGTGCGCTTCAGCAACTGCCCTCTCTACTCTGGCCTGGCCAGTCGAAATGGCATCTTAAAGTCAAGGTCACGGTGTCATCCCAACACGGGGCTGTGTTTAATTACAGCCCCATACAGGCTGACAGCCAATATGGATCCAAGGCTAGACCTGAAGCTCACTTAACTCTTTCCACCCTTCCAAAATGCATGCCAGCCCAGCCCACTTCACAAAAGCCTGCAGAACTAACTGCACCCCTAAGGAGTCCTGGCCAGGTGTTCTGACTCAAAACAGGTCATTGGCCAAATTATAAATGCCTATATGGCCACTTTGTCTCTGACTTGTCCCCCAGGCTAGAAATGAACACTGGAAATTTGGCTAGGTGTAGTAAGGTTCAACGCTTAAAAATGAGAAGGGGCAAAAAAAGGAAAGAAATTCAGAATCAGCAGATCCAGAGACAGGGTATCAGGTGTGTGTACCTATTCTGCCTACATCTGACTCAGTGAAGTGGAAAATATTTATTTTTATATTGTGTTCTGAACGTAAGCAATAGGAATGATTATTTTAACATTACAGGGCTGTCACGGACAGTCACATGGAGAAATACAGAAAGCACTTCACCACTCCTTAGTGCTTGGCTACGGCGCCTCTGAAAATGAAAAGAAAACATGCAAACAGCTTTTCTCCTTGCTTCTCATTTACCTGCTATATGTTCTTGTTTGGGGCAAATTCCTCTAGATGACGTTGATAAACAATCGTCATCCTCTGGCGTGACCTGGATGCCAACCTCCACGGGATTGGATGCTTTTTTCATCTCGATTGGTGAAGGGGAAGGTGGCTTATCCACAGCTTTTTCTAAGCAGAGGCTGCCATTGCATTGTTTCCGTTTGTGCTCGATAAAAATAAGAATGTCCCCCAATGGGAAGTTCATCTGGCACTGCCCACACGTGAGGAGGTCATGGTCCCCTTCTGGAGCTCCCAAAGGGCCGTGGTCTGGTTCATCATCTGTAAGAATGGCTTCAAGAGGTTCGGCTGTGGTTGGAGAAACAAAAGCACAATTATTAGATTGCTGGAAAGGAGAGAAAAGGGGGATATATATTATCAACCCCATCCCATCCCAACACATTACATAAAGTATTTCTAGGCTCCTCCATCTAATCCCCAGAAAATGTGAACATCTAAAATGTACAAGGCTGTGGAGGTGGTCAGCAAGAAAGCAAATCTATCAATGAGGCAAGTCATCACATATTTAAAGAAACCATCATATATTTCAAGTCTAACTTTCAAAACTCCACAAATACGCACAAACACATATACGCATACTACAGATGTGTCTGGCTTGTGAGTTTGGGACAAAAATATGTTTGATAAAGTTAATGCAGGGGACATAAAGAACACTTAAATAATAACTACCCCCCAAGAAAATTTTTGTGTAAAAACACAGATGGAAACCAAGTTTCTTTTTTCCTATAGACTAAGTTGTCTATTGTGCCAAAGAATAAAAGGAGAGGTGAATAAACACACACACACCCTTTGTGTGTGAACGTATATATCCCTAAGTTATACAGAGACATAGCTTTATAAATGAGAAAGCTACTACATCACACAGAAAATGTGCCACACGTTTACACCGTGGTAATAAGAAAACGACTGCATTCACCCGTGAAACGGATCTAAATAATAATCATAACACAGCGTAATTCACACTGCCAAAAACCCTTCTGGTCTCTCTCTCAGCAGTGCCACAAAAATCAAAGAAATCCCAAATTCACTGGCAATTCTTCTCAGACACATTAGCTAAATGGGATACTTTTGAGTACTTAAGGAAATAAGCCAATTAGTCATTTTTTCATTCTGAAGAAAGAAAGCCTAAAATATTCTAAACATGTTTGCACTTGGTGGCCCCCATCACATAAAAATCAGAATGGTCAAGCAAATGCCACATTTCAGAACAAGGTTGAGAAGTCCTTTCTTTTAGACTTGAAATACTCTGCCTAATGTTGTCAAAGTTGACTAATTTTCTGAATGAGCTCTAAAACACTTCATTATAGGGCTATTTCTGCACACATAATCACCAGCGATGGTATAACAAGGTAGATATGTCTTTCATTCCTGCTTCCTTTTTTTAAAAAAACTTTGCACCAAAATATTTCAGCATCTATTTGAGCAATTTCTATCATTGTTTAACCACACAAAAAGGGAAAAGAGAATTGGTAAGTCTCTGCTCCTGAAACCTTAAGCTTACTCTATTTTTAAAAAATCATAAAATACAAAACACATTCAGGATGCTGCCAATTTATAAAACTGAAGCAGAAAATGTACAAGTCTTAAACAGTTAATCAGTCTGACCTTCTTTAGCAAGCTGCCAATTTCACATTTAATGAACTTAAAGCCACAGAGAATCAAAAAATAGATTTTAATTTGAGTGTAGAATATTGGAACAGATTTTGATAAAGTGCAAAAATCCAGTGAACTCAGGTTAAATTTATTTCAACCCTACCCACGCTGGATATTGAGGGGGAAGATCTGGAGTAACTCCCAGATGTGCTGGGTGAAATAATATTGAGAGAGCCCTGCCTGGCTGCACCTGTGCTCAAGTAGGACATGTCATAATTTCTAGCCTCTGGTACTCCTCCTAATTTAACATAAGGTCACCACAGGAATATGAAGGTTATACTCCTACTAATAAAGACAGCAAGGTGAGCACTTACATTTCTTTGCCCAATACACTGACCAAAAGATAAATACAAGAGAGAATCTACATGAATACTTTTCAAAGGAAAGGACACGAACGGAAGTGCTTATGCATTATGCCTCTATGTCATTTTTCTCCTACATTTGCTTTCATTTTGACCAAGTGAGGAACTGAATAGGGAAGTCATTCTCCCAGATCCCTGCTATTTGAATTAAGGATTTTAAGTAAACACCAACAAATGTGGGGTTTTTGTTGTTGTTGTTTTTCAGTATTAACTAAAAGTTCTGAGGTTTACAGACTGAAAGAAGATTCAGGAAAAATATTTTATCTTCCCAAAGTTAGTACTACACAGACTCTTTGCAAAAAACATTTTTTAAAAACTCCACTGTTAAAATTTGTTTTTTTAATCCCAAACCCTGAAAATGGAAATATTTAGAATTAAATGGAAATATTCTCCTAGGTATCAAACAGTTAAAGGTAGTGTGGTACAGAATAGACTTGGTTAAAGTCTTCTAAACGTAGTGACTGAACTGATTTACAAGCAAAACCAGGAAATGAAGTGGTAATTCAGAGGTTGCTGATTACACCTCCACATTTCACCTAATTAATTTTATAGAAGGCAAAGTTCTTGAAAATAACAAGATGATCAAATGTACAGATATAAAACCTGTAACCTCAACATTTTCTATGCTCTTAAGGTAAATTATTGCTAATTAACAAGAATTATATCCTAATGTATGAAATACATTTAACATCGGGCTCCCTGCAAAACATGCGGCTAGTGATGTTCAGTGATATACCAAAACGTGTTCTTATTATTGCTGTCATATTATTAAAAATCAGACGAAGTAGGGCACAAAGAAAATATGAAAATACAATTCTCTTGGTGTAGTCTACTGATTTGCATTGACATCTTTTCTCAGTGGCAATCAACATTTTCTTTCTGGGCATCAGATAATTTCTCTGTATTTTAATGCAAATTCCTCTTTCCCTAAAAATATTCCTAACCTCAGCCATTTTACCCCCTCCTTCAATTCCACTCCATCCTCTTTCGCCCCCCACAATACCACCGTTTCTAAGCTCCGGCCAAGCAGCGGCTACAAAGCGGGGAGTTCAGGATTGAAGTGGAAGGGAGTGGGCAAATAATCATAATAATTAGCCGCAAATTCTCTACAAGAAAAAGAAAATAAACCATTTTAGAAAATAAAACGCTTCTGCGTTGAAACAGCAAGACAGACTGAAATGTCTCAATGCCCCAGCGGCTGACTGAGATCTCCTTCCTCTCTGCTGTTGCAAAGGAATAAATTTTAAAAGAAAAAAAAATCCTTAGAAGAAATGTTGGGAAGGAGCAAGGGAAACAAGGCTGTTGGGGGAGGGGGAGGGGAAAGAGATCTGCCTTCAAGTTTGCTTTCCAAGTCTTTCCCTTTGATTATCTTAACAAGGTAAGGAAGCAAACCAAGACTGAAATGCCGGGAGGAAAAGCAAAGAAACAAAAGCGGAGGCAGGGGCGACAGGCCCGGAGCAGGGGGCCCGGCAGGGGCGAGCTGTGCAGAAAGTGAAGTTGGGCACCGGGACTCCGAGGCACAAAGCGAGCAGCGCGCTGGCTGTAAGCTCGGGCCACGCTCCCTGCGAACACGTGCAGCAGCGGCTGCGGGGCCGAGGGACCGGGAACCCGGGGCCGGGAGGCGGCAAGCGGCCAGGGGCCCCGACTGCCGCCTCCACGTCCATTCAGCTCGCCGGCCGAGTGATGAGGTTCCTGGGGCCCGCTAGTTGGGAGAAATAGCACGTGAGGCTTAAAAATCTCGGCTGGTTAACCTGGTGTCGTCTCGGTATCACCGCACACACCACAAGCCCGGCTCCTGAAATACATTTCGTGTCCTCTGGCTCACACTTTACTTTGGGAGATCTCTGCAAAAGCATTTCTCCCGCAACACCGGGCATCGATGTGCGCAGCGCCGCGGTGGCTGCGGTTATTCATTATTAATGACGCTGCTTGCCCGCATCATTATGATGATAACTATTACTATTGTTGTGATTTCGGGCTCCGAAGCGAGCCCTGTAGGAGGCGGGGGAACCAGGGGTCAGGCTGCCGAGTGGCTCTGAAAGCCCGCGGTGGCCGCAGCGATCCGTGCTTCGAGCGAGGGGTGAGGGGGTGGAAGAAGTGACCCTGGAGCCTAAGAGCAAACTTGCCGGATCCTGCCCTTTGGCCTCGCCCCGAAGCCGGAGAGCGCGACTCCCCTCTCCGCCCTATCAAAAATGCCCGCCCCGAAAGAAAACGAGAACTGCACCCTGCTCCGCTCTCGCCGGCCGGGGGTGTCAACGCACTGGGGTGCTTCTCCGCAGCCCTGGCCTGAAGCATTTTTAAAGTCAAAATGAAGAACAAAGACATAGGGGTGATGGGGGAGAGAAAGGGAATTCTGCCTAACCGTCCGGTTCCCCCCACCCCCACCCTTGCCAAGCTCTTCCCTCCCCGGTAGAGAAACGCTGGGCGGGGGAGGGGGGTGAATGTGGTACAGGTTCAAGTTCGCTGAGCTTTCTTGATCTTGTTCTGCCTCCTAGCGACCGAACCGCTCTCATTCAGCCCAAGGAGCGGAAGATGGGGGGAGGGGTGCGTCCAGAAGAACGGAATGGCTCCCGCCCCCTCTTCGCACCCAGTAAAAGGAGTGACCCCCGCACCCCCTTCCAAGCTGGTCCCGTAACCTAAAGCCCTCACTGAAACGGGGGAAGAGGGAGGTTAACCCACCCAGCCAGGAATATCCCGAGATGGACTCGGGAAGGGGGGGGAGGTGCAGCCAGGACTGCAGGTCTCAGTCCGTCCTTTGAGCCCCCAATGCATCCTTCCAAAGGAGGGCCCGGCTTTCCCGAGTCCTGCGAAGACTGCCCTTCCTCCCCGCCGGTACCTGGCCGGGCTGTAACTTCACACCGCCGCGCGCCGCGTCTGCTCCGCATCCGGCGCAGCCGGGGGAGTGGGGGGCGGGGGAGAGCGACGAGCGAGGGATGCGCGGGGGTGGGGAGAGGGAGGGCCCCGCAACGTGCCGGGGCGGGGGAGCTTCCAAAGTGTGTGACAAGTTCCAGGGCCCAGTGAAAAATTCAATTCACTGTGAGCAGCACTCCCACCCCTTTAAAAAATACAGAACTGGGCTTAGGTGGTCCTTTAAAATTGCATCAAAAATTAAAATAAGGGTCATGAGTGAGGAGGAGAAAGGATGTGGGCCCTTCTTAGGTCTTTCTTTCTCTCACTGACAAACTTTCTTTCCTAAGTGCCCACCTCCCGCCTTTCCAGACGCACTCTTCTAGCCAGGAGACAGCCACCCACCCACCTCTTAGAGAGGCTCACAAGGATTCCAAACCCCAAACCGAGCCGGGCCCGGGATAGAGGGCACGGGATCCAGGACTCAACACATACTCGAATATACTACTACCCTGCCGACCCCCACCCACCCACCCCACCCACCGCTACCTGTCTTAAGTGCTCGGGAGCCCGGGGACTGGCGGCCAGACCGGAGGGAGGGAGGGAGGCAGGCAGGGAAAGCACGTGGCGACCTCCTCACCGTCCCAAGCTGTGGACCGGAGACGCGGGGGCCGGGGAGGGGGCCGGAACGCACTTTTTCAGTAGCTTTGCGAGGTAAAAATGCTTTGCAAAGCCGAGTTTCTCCCCTGCCAATTTCGAAGTCGGGTTGGCTAGGAAGAGGTCTGGGCATTGTACTGGGGACGAGAGGGCACTGTGGACCCACGCGGGCCGCGTGGAGTCGCGGAGCGGCCTGCCGCAATGCCGGCGGGCGGGCGCCTGGAGCCCGGTGGGCGATCTCGGGCCGGGCGGGGGCGCGGCGAGGCTCGACGAGGCCCCGGCGAGGCCCGGCCGCCGCCACCGCCGGCTCCCAGGCTGCCGCGCCGCGCTCGGTCCTCTGTCTGTTTGTTGGCAGGAGGCTCCCGCACACGCGGTGCTTGTAAACATTCAGACACGAGATTTTTCCCAATCAAAATCCACTTCCACTTTTTTTGAAAATCTTCCAAAAAATAGTAAGAGGAGGGAGTTCCTCTCTCCCTCTCCGTGCCGCTCCTGCTCTACTAAAGAGGTTTTGGGAAAAGGGTAATTGTAATTTTTCCCCCCACTACCTAAAGAGTGTGAAATTTTTGCGGGGGGGGGGGAGTACTGGGGGGAGTCAAAGAGGAGACCGTTGCAGAAAAAGGCCGGCGGAGGGTTTGGCTTCTCTGTTTTGGGGGCAAGAAATTTTACATTCTCTTTCCCTGTTTTATTTCATTTTTAATCTAATTTTATTTCATTTTGCACGTCTTCTCGCCGCCGCTAAGGTTTGGCCGCGAGGGGCGGGCAGCCTCAGCCTCCGCGGCGGCGCCCGGGGCGCCCGCCCTCCCTCCTCAGCGCGCCCCCGGCCCCAGCTCCTGCCCTTCGGCGGTGGCGGCGGCGCGGGAGGGCCAGCGCGAGGAGTCGGCACAAAAGGCAGCGGGACAAACACCCACCTCGGGCCGGAACAAAAGGCGGCAGCGCGGACCGCGTCCTGGGTCCTTCCCGGTCGCCCGGCTTTCCCTGCCGACGCGACCCCTCTCCACACTCGGCAGACTCCAGAGTGCCCGGGGCCCCCTCCCACAATCCCACTTTCTCACTATTGTGGAGATGACTACTTTCCCCCCTGTGCACACTTTACCGTGAGCGCGCCGATGTCCGAGGGCCAGTCTCACCTCTTTTCTCGCTGGGAATATTTTTTTAGGCTTGGGTTCCCTATTACGCACCCCCACACCGTTTTCCTTCCTTCGATGAGTGGAAACAACCCCTCTCTCCCTTCCAGTTCCCTCCCCTAGGGTTGCATGAGTTGTTCGCATCCATACATAGCATTGTTCATTATTTTGCAAAATTAGAGGAGAAATCATTACACTCCTTTTCGAAAAGCAAAATAAAGCAGCGGAAAGCAGGAAAAAGGAGACAATTTTTGTAAAATTAAATAAAATTAAAAGGTGCGTGCTATCCCAAAAGTACATATGGCTATGGTTCGGGATGGAATTAGGTTTTTTCCTCCCTTTAATCCCTTTCATCCCGACTCTCGGAGATTTTTCTTAAGAAAAAAATTTTAAATGCATGCACACACCCCTCTCTCCCCCTCGCTCTTGCTTCTCGTCCTGCGCGCCCTCGTGATTATTAATAATTATTATTACTATTATTGGGTTACTTACGCGAGAATTCCCGTTTGCTTAAGTGCTGGGGTTTGCCTTGCTTGCGGCGAGACATGGTGGGCTGCGGGGCGGGCGGCGGCGGCGGCGGGCGGCGGCGGGCGGACGACGGCTCGGTTCACATCGGGAGAGCCGGGTTAGAAAGGAGACTCCAGAGAAAATATCTTCATCAGTGCCTTTTGACATCCAAAATAAATTAGAAATAATACAAAGATGGCGCAGGGAAGATGAATTGTGGGAGAGCCGTCATGGCTTTTTTTTTTTTTTAAGCAAAAAAAAAAAGAGAGAGAGAGAGGAGAGATAGAGGGAGAGAGAGAGAGAGATGAAAAAAATGGCAAAAAGCCCCCCTGAGCTGCAAGTTCAAGTGCGGACGTGACGTCCCTGCGAACTTGAACGTCAGGAGTCTGGATGGACAGAGACACACAAAACATGGGCAGGGCGAGCAGGAGAGAAGGGGAGGAGGGAAGGGGAAGCTCACACCAATGGACACACATCAGGGGCTGGACATGAAAAAGAGACCAGGACAAGCCAATGGCCAGTGCGGGGCGGGGGAGGTGCGAGGCGGGGGGCTCCGCAGACTCCAGACGCGGCCCCCGGGGGAGGGGCAGGCGGAGGGGAGGGGGCGCTGGGGCCGCAGGCTCACCAGTGGCCGCAGCGATCGCCGAAGCCGTGGCGTGGCCCGGGGAGAAAAATGCGGCTGCGGGGGTAGTGGTGGAGGGAGCAAGACGTGCTCCCTCCCCCCAACCCGCACGTGCACCCCAAAGTGAAAGATTTTTTTTTTTTTTTTTTTAGCTGAAGTGTATTGGGAGGCTGCAGCCTGGGGCTGGGGAAGCGCGGGCGGAGGGAAGCCAGGTAGAGTTGCTCCCGGACACCCTCCTCAGTGCGCACACCCACTTCCCCTCACCGCCGCCGCCGCGCTCGCTCCCCGCGGGTGGATGGCCGAGGCCGAAGTGAAAGCTCCGAGCCTGCGGCTGCGCTCGCGAAACTTTGCCTAAAGAGAGGATAGCAAAGAAAAATCACCCGAAGTTGAGAGCTGAGCCTCCCAAGTTACAGCTACGCAGCGGGCGAGGGGAGGTGGGAGGGAGCGCGCGGCGAAACGGAGTCCAGCCCAAGTTTGGAAGGTGGCAGGTCCGGAAGGGCAGTGCTGGGGCCTCCTGGAGCCCAGGCAGCTTGGAGAGAGGGGGCAAGGGCGAAGGAGGCGGCGCAGGCCTGGGCTGGAGGGTCGGGAGGGCGCCGCCAAGGCAGAGCAGGGGGGCCTGGGTACTGAGCGCCCCGGCAAGCGATTGGGTCTTGATGCAGCTAGAAGCCCGGAGTCGAGGCTCCCAAAGGTCTGGGAAAGAGAGGCCGAGAAATAAGAACGAGCAGCCAACCTCGGAGCACGTCCCGGCACCCGGAGGAGAGCTCCGGGTCCCGGGCGAGGGAGGCGCCGACGCGTCCACCTCTCCGAGCGGCCGCGGGCCAGAGGACAAAGCACTGGTAGTCCTGAGACTTCCAATCCCTGGGAACGTGGTCCTGGCGCCGCGGGAGGTCCTGGAGCCTGGTCTTAGGGATGGACACACCCCCTCCCACTCCAGAGCAACTGCAAAAGCACAGAGGAATGAAAAGAAAATGTTTCTCAGGGACAGAGCACAACTATTCCTCTGCGTTACCCGGGAAGAGAAAATGGGGAATGGAGAAAGAGCGACTGGCTCGCCAGAGCAGCGGGGAGGCCATGGTGGTGGGGTGACCGCCTCGGGTCAGGGCCAAGCTCCCCCCGCTACCCGGGCCAAGGCACACACCATGAAGCCCACAGTCCACCCCACCCCCATCCTGGTCTTTCTGCAGACGTTCTCAGGAAATTAGGGAAGACCTGTTGGAAATAAACCCCTGTCTCTTTAATGCACACGCGCGCGCGCGCACACACACACACACACACACACACACACACGCTGCCGCTGTCAAAAAGCTGGCTTCACTCTGGCGTGGGATACTTTCAGTTTTACGTAAAATGTACAGCAACAGCACCCCCTGCGATTGGAAAGTTTATTCGGAAACGTGCCTACAAAGTCCCCCAGCGTCTCCCGCCTCTCAGCCTCCCTGCCGGCCTGCGCCACGGTGCAGCCTAGGCGGCCGCCGCCGCCCACGCCGCCGCCGCCACGGAGACCACGCTGCAGTCGCAAATCCGGGAGGGCAGGGTGCGAGGAGAAGGGGCTCAAGTCCGAGGGAGGTGCGGAGCGTGCAGGGTGGAGGCGGGTGGCCGCGGCCCGCGAGACTCCGAGCTGCAGGTGGACGTGTGTGTGTGTCTGCAGAGCAAGGAGCCTCCTTCCCTCTCCTCCAAGGGGCTCCACACCCCGTCGTTGCTTCTATTCCCCCTCCTCAGTCTAAGGGCCGTCGTTTTCGTAAATTCGCCCACCCGGTGGTGAGCTTTATTGTTTTAAGCAAGGGACCCGGCTCGCGCGGGCGCACCCCTGTCCCAGCTGCGCAGGGAAGCGGCTGTTTATTCATGTGCTGTCTTAGTAAAAGTTTCAAGCCTATTAGAAAATGACTGGCTTGCCTAGCTCAGCGAAGCTTCGGATCCCTCTAAGGAAGAAAAAGAGGTTTTGATGCTTAACATGAAGAGAGATGTGGGCTGGACTGCATTTGTGTAAATGTGGTTTGCTGTTGTTTCTTTCCAGTTGGGGGGTGGGAGGGACTCAAATCCTGTTCCAGAAGCAGTAAGATTCAGTGAAGCTCTGTATCGTGTACGGTACACCATTTCCCCTTTTTCATGAGTTCTTCGGAGCAGGTCAGCATCTTTCTTCCACTACTGTCTTTTTTTTTTTTTTTCCGGTCATATTAAACTAGACTTAGAGCGACCAGAAGAATATCCTTGCGGAGAGGGGTGGGTGTGGGGAGCAAGGCAAGGAGAAGAGCAGTTGGAAGGAAGGTGAGGAGAAGGAAGAAGAAAGTGCAACTGGGAGGCCTTTGACTAATAAGTAAATTAAATAAAAGCCCCTGCAGGTAACAATAGTGAGTCAGATTCTTTCGGAACCGAGCTTTTCAATTTTAAATATTTTCCCATCCATCCATAAAAGTCCATATATAGAGAATGTATATAAATGGGCGAACGTGTGTTGTGGAAATATATATGTGTGATTTATATATAATGGTGTGTATAAAGCTTTTCAGGGTTGACTGTAGTGTAAAAAGTAATGACTTTATTACCTCTGAAAGGTTCTGTGGTTCACATTTAACAGTCTTCGGAATTACAATTCATTACCCAGTTGTGTGCTCTCTAAAACCGGGACCCTGTCAGGGCCGTTATCTGTGGTTATTTCCAATAAATAACTGACAACATTTTATTGATTTTCTCTTTTTAAAAAAAAAATAGGAAATTAAGCACTTAGTTACAAGTAGATCTGCTGTTGTTGCACTTATTTCAAATTCTAGGGGGTTCCTTCTGAAACTACATCTTAAAACATACATTAAAAACCCAGTTTTGCAGCTGCTTTCCCTGGGTGCCAATGGAGAGGTCAGCAGCGACGTTTCCACCATTAACATATATTTAATTTCACCATCATAAAATGCCTACAGTGAAATGGGAACTGCCTTCCACTCCTGCCCCTCCCCCAGCCTGATTTCACCCTGTCCAGAAAACTAGGGTTGTGTATAGGTATTTGACCCCTTCTGGTCTCGGACCCCCGCTCACAGTACCTCGCGATCGCCCCTAAGAGTGACGCTCTCTCCCTCACTGCGGCTGGACCGCTGGGTGCTCGCTAAAGCGCCCAAAAGTGGGGGGGTGGGGAGGGTTTGTACGTGTGTTTAAAGAAATAAAAATGTGTTATTTTAAGAGGCTTTAAACTATTACAAAAGTATTGATTAATGATGCAGGTGGTTTTGTAAAGGAGTGCGAGGTCACTTTAAACGAGCACACTTGGATACATAATAAGTATATTTACCTTTCCAAAAGTGGCTTTTAGAAAGTAATAAATTATGACAATGTTAAAATTATTTTCTGACCGTTCAGTTAACTTCATTTGGAGCTATAGAGCCTTTGCCGATTTCACTAAGAGGGTAATACGCTCCGTGGGCTCTTTAGCAAACCTTTGGTGACGACATGGCGAGTAAACTCCCGGCCAACAGACGACCCCTCCCCTCCCCTCCGCCCCCTTTTTATCCTGCCCGCGGAGGAGACTCCCCAGGACTTCCTGCAGTATATATTCTGCCTCTGATCTCCCTACTTAATAGCCAAGTCCTGGTTTATGCTTTATAATGTGTTGACAAGTTTCCTAACAGACTTTCTGAAATAATGCACATATATTCACGTCGGTTAGAAACCCACTGTATTTTTAGAGTCGAATAGATCTACACTCTAATGCAGTGAGAGAGTGTAAATCATAGAGGATTTCATAGTCTTTTCAGTAGTTTTCGGTATGAAGTATGAGCCGCGTGGCCTCCAGACGTAACCTTTTAGAAAAAAAGACAGTGCTTTTATTTTATGGTGTAAAGTGCTTTTAGCTCCAGGGCTCTGAACGTGAACGTGGTCAACAAACAGCTCCAAGAGGGAGACTTAATACAGCCCCAGCCCTTGTGCCATGGATCGCCTGGCGCGGGAGACTCCGGCTGAGCCAGAAAATGAAGGGTTAAAACGTCTGTCTCGATGGAAACTACAAGATTAAAATAAAGTATTCACTGTCTGCCTTTAGGAGGGAAATACCTTTACAGACTTAAAGATAAAGAAATGAATGAATGAATGGTTAAAAATACAGTCGATCCCACCTTGCTTTTCACTTTTTTCCCCTTAAAGGCGGTTCAGAAAACAGAGAATGGTCAGTTATCTTCATAAAAATAAAACCTAGGTATGGATTCTGCACTTAGCATAGGTTTGCATTTGGGGTTTTTGCAGGTGGAAGTGCCAGGGTGTTGTTAGGTTGATGGAAAATTAATTACAGAGAGGAAGGAGATTGTGTGTGAGGAAGGACATGGGCACCCTGAATTGAAAGGTGAGCAAAAGGGCCACACTTTTTCCTCCTCTACTTCCAGTGTGATCCAGAGCCTAGGACCTGAGGAGACCCCTGGAGGGCAGTGTCTACACCTTCTACAAAGGCAGATCCCGGCCTCCCCCAGGTACCTGGGGCAACAGTTAGTCTGGAATTTCCCCAGAGGCTCCCTGGGCTGCTGGCTGGCAGGCAGGCAGGCAGGCAGGCCACCTCACATACCTGGATGAACCTATCCAAAAAATAGGAAGATAAAGGGAGGCAAGGAGGAAGAAAAAGCTGAATCTGCTCTAAATAAGTCTATACTTGCCTCTATAATGGGCAGCTGTGTGCTGAGTCAATAACGTGTGTGGGGAGAGGGGAGCAGTAGTCTCACCACTTAAGTAAGGGGCCCCTTCGAAGACAGCAAGGAGTTCTGCCAGGAACACTGCTAAGTGAAATACTGGATTTAGCTCCCTAGCATTGTCATGAAAGACACACAGCTGCTGGGCAATGAAGCCAGTCCAGCACACTGGGTTAGAAACGTCCCAGCACAATACTCAGCACACAGTAAATACTCAACAAATGGCTTTTGAGTGAATACTGAAAAAATACTATCAGTACATAAATGAAACCAACATAACCATCCAAATTCTATTC